GGCATCACCAACATGGAAGATGGCAAGCAAGGATCGGCCGAGTCGCCGGAAACAAAGACCTCTACTTGGGGACCTTTAGTAAGCACTTAGTGATTAGATCTTGAATTCTTGATTGCGTTTGGTTCGCAAACCACATAAAAGTTATTTCAAAATCTCTAGAACATACAAAATAACCCTAGCTAATTCATCATTAACCATATGGTATGTTCCATTCAGGCACTGAGGAAGAAGCAGCAGAAGCTTACGATATAGCCGCGATTAAGTTTAGAGGACTCAACGCCGTGACCAACTTTGAGATTAACCGGTACGATGTGAAAGCCATCCTAGAGAGCAGCACTCTTCCCATAGGAGGAGGCGCCGCTAAGAGGCTCAAAGAAGCTCAAGCTCTTGAATCTTCAAGAAAACGTGAGGCCGAGATGATAGCTCTTGGTTCAAGTTTCCAGTATGGTGGTGGCTCGAGCTCAGGCTCTGGCTCAAGCTCATCAAGGCTTCAGCTTCAACCTTACCCTCTAAGCATTCAGCAACCATTAGAGCCTTTTCTATCTCTCCAGAACAATGACATCTCCCATTACAACAATAACAGTGCTCATGATTCCTCCTCTTTTAATCACAATAGCTATATCCAGACGCAGCTTCATCTTCACCAACAAACCAACAATTACTTGCAGCAGCAATCGAGCCAGAACTCGCAGCAGCTCTACAATGCGTATCTCCATAGCAATCCGGCTCTGTTTCATGGCCTTGTTTCCACCTCTATCGTTGACAACAGTAATAACAATGGAGGCTCTAGTGGGAGCTACGACACTGCAGCGTTTCTTGGCAACCACGGCATGGGTATTGGGTCAAGCTCGACTGTTGGATCGACTGAGGAGTTTCCTACCGTTAAAACCGATTACGATATGCCTTCGAGTGATGGCGCCGGAGGGTATGGTGGCTGGACAGGTGAGCCTGCTCAGGGATCGAATCCTGGTAGTGTTTTCACTATGTGGAATGAGTGAAAAGGGATCTGTTTCTTGCAACGCAAGGAAAGAGGTCTGAATAGTAACTATATTAATCATTTTC